CCAAACCCCGCCCCCCCCGTCTATACCCCAGGATAGATTTGCCATGGACTTTAATGGTCTCCATAGGGTATAATGGACCCCCAAAAATTCGGGATTCCTGAATATTACAAAATCTGAATACCATACTGGTATTGGGATTCAGGAATATTCATAAATACCAATATATTTCAGGTCCAATATACCCAAATCCGAAATTGGATTTTAGCCTATTAAGACCAAAATATTTTGTTTTTACTACTGATAATTTCAGTTTTCCTTACCTACAGGTTGAACAATAGCCATAACGTGATGTTAGGAGAATACATAGTCACTGGTGTATCACTTTTGAGGTCACAAAAGAAAGAAGGGAGAGCCAGATGCATATGTCAACACAGAGGCCCTTATGTATCAATGTGTCGACTATGTTGGTACCTAGAGGTATCTGCAAAGATATACTGATAGATGACCCCTTGGTGGGACATGTCATGCAAGTCACTGGCTAAGGGGAAGCTTTGGGTGCTCTTCTCATATGGAGACATACCGCATTATGAGAATGGCTTTCCTATTTAGAAATGCTGTACAGGCCAAACAGGCCATCTCTCATACTTTGATCCTTCCCCAGAAGTCATCTGGTAGGAATGGGGACAGCCCAGTCTAGTCCTCACTGGCCTTAGCCAATGCAGAGGCCTTTGGGAAGTGGAAAGGATAAGCATCATCAGCCTAGCACGGCACCTAGAACCTTCTGTACAGGACTAGCCATTTCTCAACTGATATTGGTGACCTATGAGACATTCCATCTGTGAAAGCAGGTTCCCAAATCTGACATTTAATTCCAGGCGGTTACCTGGCAAATGGAAAGAGAGAATCCACCCCTTTGTTCTTACTTGATCTTTTAGATTTTTTATATAGCACTGACAATAAACAGACATCAGACAACATAAGTATAGCAATGTCTCAGACATCTGAGATGAAAGTCAACAGCAACATTTAAAAAATTCTTCCACATGCTCTAGATATTTTCTTTTCTTTCTCAAGTGTCCTGTCATACAACCTAACCTTCCTTCAGCTATCTCAAAGAGTCTGTAGCTAATACGCTCATCCCTGTCCTTATTGCCTGCCTAAGCCCATCAACATAAAATCTATCTCTGCCCAATATCATGACACTTTTCAAATGAAAGAGTGATGCAAACCATTATAGCATATAGCTAAACAGCAGCCCCTCATGGCTGATTGTTCCTTTAGTCTCAGGAAAGGAGCTATCTGTTAGGCACAAATGTATATGTTAAAATGGTCCTTTAGCCTCAGGAAAGGAGCTAACTACCTGTTAGGCACAAATGTATATGTTAAAATCCTAAAAGAGATATTTTTAAATTAAAAAGACCAGCTTTGGAGGAGGCTTTTGAGACCAGAGAAGCTTGGAGTGATGGAGCACTTAACCCTTTCTACCCACCCACTGTTTACCAGCTCCCAAACAATTCCCCTTCTGGGGGGTAATTTCCCAATGGGGGGGAAAGCAGATTAGGAAACAATTTACAGTAAGGAAAGGTTTAAATATTTTTAAATACCCAATAAGTATCCTTGTAAAGGATAAAATGCCCTCTCCCTATACTATTTCTTCCTCATAATGCAGAGGTTCCCAAATTTATTTGGCCTACTGCCCCCTTTTCAGAAAAAACAACAACACCTCAGTGCCCCCCTGGAAATCTACCTACAAAAAGATGCAGTGACAAATTTGCATCCAAGGCTCCTACCGCCCACCTGGATCATTCCAGTGCCCCTCAGGGGGTGGTATTGCCCACTTTGGGAACCAGTGTATAATGCATGGCTAGCTGTGAAGTGGGAAGGAATTAAAAATTAAGCTTCCTGCCTGCCAGCACCAAGCAACAAAAGGAAAATGGTGTCTTCATTACAGAGTTCTTTATTAATTCGTATATTTGCACTAAATTTCATGGATCTCTTCTTGAAGAAAGGGTTTTGATCTTTTGTTCCTTTTTCACCATCATTTGGTACCACCTAAATGTACCAGAGGAAACCCTGATAAGAGAAGTGGAATACCGAAGCCTTAAAAGTATAAAAACAAATTACACTCTAATCTTACGGACTGTCATCCTACTTATTTTTTATACTGTGACCACATGGCTGGTGAAAATGATAATGCCTCATAACGCTGTCGTTAACTGCACCCTTAAATTGATGTTGGAGGGTCTCTTCACACATATACACAGCAGCTTGGAGTACCTTCCCCATAGTATAGCCTCTTCACACATATGCAGCTTGGAGTACCTTCCCCATAGTATAACCTCGTGCTGTTGAATATGAGTGCACCGAGGACACTGTAAGTGCAGCAGATCAGGTGGGTCATTTTCACCAACCTGTGTGTTGCTGGGAAGGATGGTCAGCCAATTTGTGCTGTTGATACTCATATATAATCCATAGCAGTATGAGACTGCCTTATAGGCAGGTGGCTCTCAGGCCACTGTTTGTATGCAGAGGAGGCCAAGCAGCCATGATCAACTGAATTCCACACACCATATTTCACAACAGTATCATGCATGCATTTATTTTCTGTATCACTGACCTCCAAAGAACTCATTGATATGGTTGATCCAGTTTCACTTCTTGCTAGCCCTGTGCTATCATCCATCTCTGAAGCCATGAAATTCTTTACTGCTGTACGGGGTTCAAAAGGCAAGTTCTGCATGTGTTCCTGGGTAGTAAGATGTTGATCTAAACTCATATTGAACTGGTCCATTACACTGGGGTTCATACTGAATTCAGGATTAACTTTGTAGTGCAAGAGCCTTTCATGAGGCAAGGTTTCCATGCCTATATTTAACTTGCTGTCGTCCTTCAGCGATGGTTGCGTGCTCACTGAGCCCCTGGGCATGACGATATAGTCACTTTCCATCAGTCGGTCCTGAGAGTGGACTACATCCATATCTGCACCTCTCAGGTTGTCGTCAGTACATAAATATACAGTCCGTCGCAACTCTGTGTTGTCTTTTTTCAGACACTGATTGGCCAGCTCACTCATGCTAATGGGCATGTGCATACCTCCAGACTGCTGAATGATAACTTTAGAAAGTATATTCCCAGGCAATGTTGAGTAGCTCATTCCTTCAGGGTTTGCCGATTTTTCCTCTTCATCATCGTTCAATGAGATTCTTGAAAGTGTTCCTGTTATTGTAGCTGCTCTGCATGGTCCAATGTCCTTATGAAGGACTGTGAATTTAAAAACAAAACAGAAACAGGACCACATGTGTTACAAGGACCAGCAGACAGAGCTTTTAATCTGGTTGCAAGAATTATTTAGGGCAAGAATTAGGCCGAACAATAATGCTAGCTGCAAAGAAAGGAAAGGTACGATCTTTCTGAGTTAGGTTGTAAGAGGAACATTAATTCCCAAAGGATTTTTCAATTCTAGGGTTTGTTCCTTTCTTTACTTTCATTGCCAAGTTAATAGCACTGAGGTTTACAGAGGCAACCTGCTCTACAGAGACAGGCGATTGCCTGGTTTCAATTAAACAAGCACTGTTAACCTAAGACATGTGATTGCCTAGTTTCAATTAAACAAGCACTGTTAACCTACTAAAGATAGGTAAGAAAGAGAGTAGGACATTTCAGCTATGGTCTCCTAACAATGTGTTACTAAACAGAAATAGTGAAAATCCCTTTCAGAATTCTCTCAGTGGTCATGTCACTGTTTCTAGTCACACATGCCAAGTTGCTTCATCTAACCATCTACTATTAAATCCCTCCATGAAGAAAGTTACATTTAAATCCTTTAATTGTTACATGGCAAAGCCTGCTTATCATTGCCCTAAAACTCATTTTTTCTGTAAAACCCCCCCCCCAATCTTTCCTTATCAAGTTCTAACTAATAATGGATGCTTCAGAAAATAATATGACATTTATTTTGTTATTAGAACATTAATTGAAGGAATGTGTATTGTTTTAAAACGGGTGTCTGTTGTGGGGAGGGGAAGGGAAAGGAGTTTGTAAGCCGCTCTGAGACACCTTTGGGTAGTGAAGGGTGGGGTATAAATCCAATCTCTTCTTCTTCTTCTTCTTTAATTGTTACATGGCAAAGCTTGGTTATCATTGCCCTAAAACTCATTCTTTCTGTAACCCCCTCCCCCATCTTTCCTTATCAAGTTCTAATAATGGATGCTTCAGAAAATAATATGACATTTATTCTGTTATTAGAACATTAATTGAAGGAATGCTTATTGTTTTAAAACCCAGAATTTAAAATTGCTTCGGTAGAGGTGGAAAGTTCTGTAAAGTCACAGCTGACCCATGGTGGCCTGTAGGGTCTTCAAGGCAAGAGACATTCAGAGGTGGTTTGCCACTGCCTGCCTCCAGATCATGACCCCGGTGGTCTCCCATTCAAATACTAACCAGGGGCAACCCTGCTTAGCTTCCGAGATCTGATGAGATCGGGCTAACCTGGGCTTTACTATTAAAACTGCCTCTTTATTAAATTAATAAGCAAGAGGGAAAAAGACATTGGGTGGGACTCTGTAGCCTATAAGCAGAACTGCACTCACAGAATTGATCTCCATTTCTTCTGCATTTTCCTGAACTGTCCCTCCCCCAGCTGTTCCTGAGGATGGGTGGGAGGGCGGGCGGGCTGGGGATGGGCAGGGAAGGCTGAAACTTGTGAGGGAAATCTGCATAAATTGCTGACACCCTTTGTTCACATGGAAATGCGTTTTGCTCTTGCAAAGATCATTTTGTATGTGACCCATAACTGTGAAATACATATGGAATGAATGAATTAACTAGTATTCAATTAAACTGGAAGTGTAGATTTAAGTAGATTTAAGTATGAAAAACCCTGGTGCAATATCCTGCATAGCTGGTATTACTGTATCAATTGCCCTTTTACTACTATTGCTCTGTTGTGCTGGTATATTGATTGGTATGATGCATGGCTAAGTATTTATTTGCTGGCACAGCAGAGTGCAGGTCTAAAGCCCTAGGAATACTCCCCTTTCCTTTATTGTGTTTTATCAAAGAACTTGAGCGCACGGCAAACTGCTGACTGCATTTTTGTTTCTATTACAAATAGAAAGGAAGTATAAATCTTTCATCAGATTTCAGAATTTAGAAAGAATAATCTTGCACATATACAGAAATGCATCTTTGAATGGGACAGCACCAGGTATTTTCAGAAAGGCAACTTTTGGGCTAGAGAGATGGCTGGTTTATACACATGGGTTTAACTACTACTGCCATTACAAGCAGCTTTTTAAGGCTGTTCGTACTATTCTAGTTTAGCTGCATGCAGTCTTTTACATCCAGCTTACAGATACTGGAGCCTCTGATATCTGTGTACTCTCTTCCTCCCTGTGGCTTGGGGCTGTTTCTCAGGCTTGTTGTAGATAATGATTACAATGAATATCATTGCCCTGGACCTCATTTCTACATTTCTGGGCTGATTTCATTTCCCATTAGTTATGTTTCTAGAGATTTCCTCTTACTGCATGGCCATGTAAATTTTCTTAAATTAATTTTGTATACTAAAATGCATTTTTGAGCATGCTAGCAAATATTCATATCTATATACTAGTAGTGATGCATGGCCCTGACTGTGGGCCACAGATCAGGGCCACAGAGATGCTAAACAGATTTTTCTGCAAACTTGGGAGATTCCCCAGGTTTGCAGAAAAAATTGAAATTTTTAAATTTCTCCCAAGTTAAATTAACAAAAAATTAAAAAGTGTTGTCTGTACATGCACAGACAAAGCACCTACCTTGCTTCAGAGGTCGTGATTGGGAACCGTGGTGGAGCCTGGCAGCACAACCCTGGAGCCTGGCAGTGGTGGCGGATGCCGGGGCTGCTGTGGGCCCAGTGTTAGATGACAGGAGTTGCTCTGGGCCCAGCTGCAATGGCAGGGGACACTGGGAGCTGCTTGGGGCCTGGCAACAGTGGTGCCTGGAGAGGCTCCAAGGTGAGTGGTTGGGCCTGAATTCATGCTGGCTCAGCAATGAGGGGAGGAGATAGAATTCACCCCCACAATTTTCACGCCCCCTCCCTGTCCTCTTATGTCTTGTAGATAGCAAAATGCCCCTGGGTACCAAAATCATGCCAAAACTGTACATTGGCCCTTTAGTTTACAGTAGCAGAGGTACTTTAATTTGTTTTACTGTTACATGGTGGCTTGACAGTCTTACCTGACCGACATGCAATGTCCACATCTTTCTCAAAATCTGTCTGTAAGAGTAAAAAAGAAAAGTTACACAAGACAGGCATTAACAATCAGCAAGTAAGTGCCACACTAGATGTTATAACAGAGGGTGCTGTTGCTGCCCAGTCTCTTTGCTCTTTCTGCTCCTGACAGTGTCAAGTACAAACAATACATGGTGTGATGTCATTGCACTGTGCCCCCCTCCCCATTTAATATCATTGTCTGAGTGGTGAGATCACATTACATATTGTGCAACATTGTTAAGACAAAGTAACAAAGAGAGCCAGTTTGGTGTAGTGGTTAAGTGTGCGGACTCTACAATCAGCAAGTAAGTGCCACACTAGATGTTATAACAGAGGGTGCTGTTGCTGCCCAGTCTCTTTGCTTTTTCTGCTCCTGACAGTGTCAAGTACAAACAATACATGGTGTGATGTCATTGCACTGTGCCCCCCCCATTTAATATCATTGTCTGAGAGATGCAGTGTGGTGAGATCACATCACATATTGTACAACATTATTAAGACAAAGTAACTATCTATGGCAGTGATAGTCAGTGGCTAGGGAACCACATGTGTTTCTTTGACATGCTATCTGTGGCTCTTCTGAGCACTATTCCCCAATGTAATGCCTGCCCCATGTTTCAATGAAGTGAGTTAGTTCCTTGCCCAGTGGGACTTGTGGTTGACAGGTGTAGGGGTGAGCAACTTTTTTATACTGGTATTTTTCAGTTCAGGTCTATTGGAGCCAGAGAAATTTCAGGATTTCTGAAAAATCTCAGATCTCAATACCAGTACAGTATTCAGATCAGGGATTTTTTGGGGGGAAATCCTGATTTTTTCAGGACCAATAGACTAAAGAAGAAGAATATTGTTTTTAAAAAATCCATCCCCAGTATCTGCTGTGCTGCTGGGAGATTGCGCCCCATGGCACACAGATCCTGGCTAGGATGGCTTCTCCTGTTGCCCAGTTTAAACTGGGCTGCACAAGGAGCCAGCACCAGGCTGAGCCAGCAGAAACAGTCCCCCCAACCCGCACAGCTGATCCTTGGGCTGTCTTCCGCAGTCCCTTTACACTTTAAACTTTAAAGGGACTGCAGCAGAAGCCTGACAAAAAGCTGCGAGGCAGGAGAAATCTGCTACTGCTTTCTGCTGTTTTTGGATCTTTCTAGTAATTCCCAAATATATCCAGGAGTTTTTCATGTTTTTGGGGGGGTTTCCCAAGGAAACCCGGATACATTTGGGATGCCAAAATATACCCCTAAAATACCTATAAGGTATTTTTCTGGTTTATTTTCAGTTCAAGTAGATCCATATGCACACTCCTAGACAAGCTGGTTCCCACCTTGATACTAGCAGATAAATGGGTAAGTTGTGAGCCTCCCTGAAGTGAAGCCTCATGTTAGGGATGAAAGTGAATATGGCTAATATGGTGGATCATAATTGTGACTGTAGCTCTCTCCAAGACACAGACTGAGTACCACTGATCTATACTAATCTGGACAGTAATTCCTACTCACTTGAAAAGAACTAGCAGGACTTAAGCTCATTTGCCTTCTTTGAGTGTCATAGCCTGCAAGGGATTATGTTTGAGGATGTCAGTCAGTCTTGAATTGAATGAATTAAATTTGGGTCCTGCAAACCACACTGAATCCAAGTTCTTTAATCAGAACATGACAGAATTCCCTCTCCTTAAAACTGGGCCTCTATTACTGGGACTTCACACTCTGTGGGTTGTTAAAAGAGGGCAATTTATGACGAAAGAAGTTATGACATTTATTTTTATTTAATATATTTATTTATAGTCCACTTTTTAACCTTAAATTTCCAAGGCAGTTCACAATCAAATCAGAAGCCTCCCCCCAAAAAAAACCCCTAATGAGAATTTAAAGCATAATTTCAGCAAATGGTAGTAGTATGTAACTTTGGATGTTGCAAGAGCAACTCTTAGTACAATTAGTACCATATTAAGCAAGGTTTTCATTTGTTCCTTGGAACAGTATGGGAGCAACTGTGGAGGTGGCAGCAAGGGGAAGGAGACATCCAGGGGTCATTTCGTAAAGGGGTGCAGGAGCTCATTAGCACAACTCATTAGCACAACTTATTTGCATATGCCACACCCCCTGACATCACCGGAAGTGTATCAGAAGGCAACCCCCACTGCTCAGGCTCCACTGGACTGTTTTGGATTGCTAGCTATTGGGGAGTGGGGGGAGAACGTGCAGATCCGTCCTCACAGAGGAGGGAGAGCTTGTACCTGAATAAAACTTGGTCTTAAAGGTGCCACTGGACTGTTTTGGACCGGGGGGCCGGGGGGAGCTCTGCAACTTACCTGGCTGCTTCTTGCTCTGACTGAGGGCTGCTGGGAGCAGGGGGTGGGGCTTGTTGCATGTGCCCGCCCCCTGGGCTCTTTACTGCCAGAACTCCGCTCCTGTGCATTCATGCAGGAAATGACCCCTGGAGAATCTGCTCAGAGTACCTAACTGGTGCCTATCTGTGCTGGTTATTTATTCAAACTGCAGACATGGTTGTTCCTAGTTAATTAACCACTGCCTTTACTGGTTTTTGTATGTTTCTTCATTATAACCTCTTAGGACAATTATCTATGTCCAATATAGAATTCATAAAGGGATCTTTTAGCGTAAATGAAAGAAGTCAGTAGAGAATAAGGCTGTTCAGTCTGTTATAAGAAAATTCTCTTTTATTTGATTACTAAGAATAAGGAGCGTTGTGGAAATAAATACAAGCTCTAGAAAGAGGCTCTGGGCATGTGCCCCGGCCTCGGGCACTCAGCGTCAATTTGCTGTGGTGACTTCAGCAGGGTATAATGACACTGAGTCCACCATTTTCTCCAGAGGAACTGATCTCTGCTACCTGAAGAACAGTTGTAATTTTGAGTGATCTCCAGCTCTCACCTGGAGATTGGCAACAATGGTTCCCTATGAGGGAATGGCTGGTTTGGAGGGTTGAGTCTATGGCATTCTACCTGTCAGAGGTCCCACCCCTCCTGAAATCTCACTCTCTCCAGGCTCCATCCCTCAAATCTCCAGGAATTTCCCACCTGGAGTTGGTAACCCTGTCTCCTTCCCAGCCAAGCATCAACCTACTTTTATTTCCCCTTCACTTTTCAGCTTTCCATCCCCCCCACCTGCAGCCTCCACTGTACTCTGAAGCCCTGACTGCCACATCACATTGGCTGTCATGGGGGGGCATCTCAGCAGGATATAAAGACACAGAGTCCACCATTTTCTCCAGGGGAACTGATCTCTGCCATCTGGAGAGCAGTTGTAATTCTGAGTGATCTCCAGCCCTCCCCTGGAAATTGGCAACAAT